TGGAACTAAGAAAAACTTAAGGAGAATTTCAGCACAAAGATTTCATTACAACAATTGAAAACTAGAAAGAGAAACTAAGAGAATTTGAGGGAGAGAAGGGAGGGGAGCTCTAGAGAAGTGTTTGAGAGCTCCCCCCCTGGGGGTGTGTTTTTGAAGCTTGAAGACTTCTCTATTTATAGGGCTAAGAGGGAGGAACATCATGATGAATCCAACACCACCATTCCTCTTTTAATACAATCCATAACTCCCACTTCATCTTGTCTATGTTAATGTGGTTGGAATCAATTCCATCCCATACTTCTTTTGTTGCACCTCAAGCTCTCTTCACATGGGTTTGCTGGTTTCTTCTTTTAGCATGGAGGTCTGGCTCTTTATTTGCTGCCAACCCATGTGCTGCTAGTCTTTGTTGCTGGCTAATAAAGTTCTTTTGCTGCTGCACATGTGTTGCTGGAAAAACGAATTCTTCTGAACCAAGCTTGGTGTAGGAAGGCCTGAGGTTTCAATATGTATCCAATGGGGCTCAAATTTGGATATGTCATAATAGACACCCATTGGAACAACTTTTATGAAGAATGTATTCTCATATGAGCAGTACAAGTGTACCGTTTGGGCCTTGCAAGTTGACTGCCGAAAATAGACTGGAATTGACAATGCATTGCAGTCAGCTTGTGGGCTTGTTTTGGGCTTGATCTTCCCTCCTAAAAAATCTGGAAAAATCTGGAAAAATTTGGATCTTTAAACCCTTTGAATTATCTCTCCAAGCATATATAGCCCAACTCAAGAAAATATTGGAAAGACCTTCAAATGTCATTTTTGGCCCAGGAACGTAGATGCTGCCGAATTTGACCTTAAGTTGCCAAAACTTGTATAACTTTCTCTAGAAGACTCGGAATCATGAACCGTAAAATTCTCCAGAAACTAGACTTCCGCATCTTTCCAATGATATATGGCTCATCATCTGGTTCTTCCTGAGCAAGTACAGTCCAATTCATGAAGTTGACTGATCTACAGACACCGTTTTGAGCTAACTTTTCTCCAAAATGCATTTAATGAGTCTCAAGTTTATTACATTGAAACAAACACAAAATTTATTAAAAGCACAAGTTTAACTCAAAAACATAATCAAATCATAAGTTAAAAGGGTACAAAATGATATATAAATATGCACCGATCACTTATACCTCATATGATTGTGCTAATGCATGGTTTTAATGCAATGTTCTCTTGGATGTGGTAATTGTCTTAATTGATTTTATTTGGCCAGGTCAAAATGTGGCATTTCTATTCTATGAGAAAATACATCTAAATGTTGAGGGATGTCAAAGATGTAGATGGCTTCTCCCTCTTTCCTTGTGCTTCACCAAATGAAGTGTTATAGATTTTGTTAACTCTATTTCATTTTTAATAATTGTATTTGTGGTTAAGATATATTGTACTGGTTCAAGTCTTTTTTTTGTTGTTGAAAATAAACGATAGTATATTATTGATGAACAAACAAAAGTACAAGTCATTTGATGGAACTATCTTGAAATTTTTGTAGTAACGCAACACTTTTTATAATTGGTTTAGATTTGACTATAATTGTTTCATGTTTCAATATTTAATTTTTCCCATTATTAAACCGATCATTTAATTCAATTTAAATCCCAAGCTGTAATTGTATTGAATTGGATTTAAAAAAAAAAAACCTGCAATCAATCTTAGATTATCTTATTGAATGGATGCGGATTTTACCAAAAAATTAATTGTTTCAAACTTGCGAATACCCTATGGAGCAAATACTTTTGCTCACCATTTTAACCCAAAGTGTATATCCTCACCACCCCTTTTAATACTTGACACATGTCTATATATATAACCATGGTTAACGTTTTACTTTGTATTATGGAACCATAATTATGCATATAAACACGTGTCATGTGTTGAGAAGGGTGATAAGTATAAACCTTGCGTTAAAGTGATGAGCAAGTGTTTGGTATAATTGCTTTAATCGATCGACATTAAATAGTGAGAGTGGCAGGACTTTTTTTCTTCATAATACTATTTGTTCAATTATTGTTGTGATCCATACCTGCTGTGTGAATGAATGTGACACACGACCATATATACATATATATACAACATTTTTTGACCATATATACAACCTGTGCATAATCATATTGCAAGTAGTAAAGTTTGTCAAGAATGAAAAGGGTTTTGGATATATCTTGACGACGTCCATCGCCTAGAACACAAATAATGGCTTGTAAGTTGTAACCATATTTGGTCAGAACCTAGACAAATATTCGCCCTTGACCAAAAAAGAAGAAGACAAATATTAGTCATTATTACCTACTGATAAAATAAAAAAAGGAAACAACATCTAATGGGCTGTTTGGATCTTGACTATGTCAATAAATAAAATATTACTTTTTGGGAGCATCTCCTATAAGTAATACATGTACATGAGTCATGACATTGATTTATTATTATTTTTTAATAATAATGTTGCCTGGTTATTATTAATTTTTTTATAGAATATTTTGAGAAGTGATAATATATGCTAAATTCACACGGACTTGAAATCAAGTCTTTTTTTAGAAAAGCAATTTCTCCAAACCACTCCTTTACATAAACATGCACTCTAAGCTCAAAGTTTTGTGTGAACGCTGATAACATTAAAATAAGCCCAAAAAAAAAAAATCTATCATTTTCAGAAAATATAAAAATTACATAAGATTAAAATAGATATATGCATACAAAACAAAACTACTAATAAGAATCCAATTTACAATTAGACGGATTCCTCTCCTTCCTCGCTACTTCCAACAATGGTCTCCAGTCTCTCAGCAGCAATTAATAAATTATTTACGATTTTAATTCCAAAATTAATTATCTCTGTGCTCTTTGCTCCATATTTTAGGTGACAAATTTGCGCACATTAATTAGTCTCTCTTTCTCTTCTCTTCCAAAATGGTTGCAAAGTACTCGACAAAGCTTCACTTTCTTCTGCTTCTGCTTCTCTTGTTTCTGTTAGCCCACTCTGCAACTCCATTATACTTCAATTTCTCCAGCTTCACTTCCGACGACCGCGACACCATTTTATCCGAGGGCGATGCTTATATGGATACCCAGTTCCTCCGCCTCACCAAAAGCGCCGCAGACGACTTTAAAAATGACAGCGTGGGCCGAGCCACCTACCGCCAACCCTTCCTCCTCGTCGAAAACCACACCGAAAAACTCGCTGACTTCACCACCACTTTCAGCTTCGCTATCGACTCGGAACGCGACCCCAGCTATGGCGACGGCCTCGCCTTCTTCATAGCCCCAAACGGATCCTTGCTCAACACAACACTAGGAGCTGGCAGCAGTCTCGGCCTCCCCTACAACTCCTCATCTTCAAACGACACCGTTCTCAGGAATCAGTACCCTTTTGTGGCGGTGGAGTTCGATATCTACCGGAATCGACTGCCAACCTTTGCTGACCCCTGGACGGATCACGTGGGTATCGACGTCAACTCTCTCAACTCTAGCATTACCAAACCTTGGGAAGGAGGTATTCAGGAAGGAAAAACCAATAGTGCTACCATTAGTTACAATTCCACTTCAAAAAATCTGAGTGTTGCCTTCACTACCCTTGTTGTAGGCCATACGAGTGAAACACAAGTGATGAAGCATTTTTATTATATTATTGATCTGAAACACTACTTGCCCGACTTGGTCGTTGTTGGATTCTCTGCTTCAACGGGTAGCTCAATTGCTCTGCATAAGATCATCTCATGGAATTTTAATTCCACTTCACTAGGTGATACAACGGACAACACATCACCAAGCCCAATTCCCAGGACTAATCCTAACCGCAAGTCAGGAAATAAGAGTATACGACTAGGAGTGGGGTTGGGGGTTGGTGGCTGTGCTGTCTTCTTTGGTGGGTTAGGGTTGGTTTGTTTCATCATGTGGAAGAAGAGGGAAACAGCTGGTGAAAGTAGTGATGAAGATATGGTTCATGAATTGATTGATGACGAATTCGAGAAGGGGGCTGGCCCGAGGAAGTTTTCGTACAGCGAATTGGCTCGGGCCACGAGTAACTTTAAGGAGGGAGAAAAGCTTGGAGAGGGAGGATTCGGTGGGGTTTATAAAGGCTTCATACCAGACTTGCGGTCATATGTTGCTGTTAAAAGGATATCGAGGGGTTCTAAACAAGGATCGAAGGAGTATGCATCGGAAGTAAAGATCATCAGTCGGCTTAGGCATCGTAATCTTGTGCAACTGATTGGCTGGTGCCATGAAAGAAAGTTCTTACTTGTATATGAGTTCATGCCCAATGGGAGTTTAGATTCTCATCTATTCAAAGAACAAAGCTTGTTAACTTGGGAGACAAGATACAAAATTGCTCAAGGTTTGGCCTCCGGGTTGCTCTATCTACACAAAGAGGGGGAGCAATGTGTGCTGCACAGGGATATTAAATCGAGCAATGTTATGTTAGATTCGAATTTCAACCCAAAACTTGGCGATTTTGGGTTAGCTCGACTTGTGGACCACGGAAAACAGTCACAAACCACAATCTTGGCTGGAACTATGGGGTACATGGCTCCGGATTATCTCAACACCGGAAAGGCTAGCAAAGAATCAGATGTCTACAGCTTCGGAGTTGTTGCCTTGGAAATAGCATGCGGAAGAAAACCTATCGATCCTAAATATGGAAGCAGTCAAATCAATATGGTTGAGTGGGTTTGGGAGCTTTATGGAGAAGATAGAGTCATTGAAGCAGCTGATCCAAAACTATGTGGAGATTTTGTTAAGAAACAAATGGAGTGCTTGATGATTGTTGGATTGTGGTGTGCTCACCCGGATTACAACAAGAGGGCTTCAATACAACAAGCCATTCAAGTACTTAACTTCGAGATTCCCTTGCCCATTCTCCCATCAAAGATGCCGGTGGCCACCTATTTTACCCCTCCAAGATCACTATCAATGTTTTCCACTGATACTAGTGGTTCTCAAGGAGGTCAAACTTGGTCTCCAAGCAAAGAAACCCCATTGGGGTTCGATCCTGGGTGCCATGGGGGAGGGGGAATCCACCACAACTGTGGGAACCCATTAGTCTACTTTAATAATTATGATAACTTGATTCCGAAATTATAGGAATTTTGTAATTTCACTTTTGTCTTGTTTTCGACATTATGCTTGTCACCCTTTGCATTGATAATATGGAAATTCAATATGTATTGTTGTAATCATTTTGTTATACACAAATATTTTTGCTCACCACTTTAACCGAAGATGTATGCTCACCACCCTTTTTAATACTTGACATGTGTCTATATGCATAATTATAGTTAACTTTTTACTTTCATTTATGTAATCATGGTTATACTTATGGACATGTGCAAGTGTTGAAAAGAGTGGTGACCATACACCTTGGGTTAAAGTGATAAGCAAAAATGCTCCCTTTGTTATACATATAGTCTCAGTTGAGTTTTTATTTTATCTATATATATAAAGCAAAAGGCAGAGAATGTAAAACATTCAAAATACTAGAAAATGTCATTGATTAATGCAAACATTAAGAATTGAAATTATTAATTAAATGAAGATAATATGGTAAATTCACATTTTTTTCATATTAAAAAAATTGAAATTAAAAGAAAAATCAAATAATGGATCCTATTTTTATGGAACACAACTACCCATTATCTTTTTTAATTCTAAAATAAATTTAAATTTTTTTTAAAAAAAAGCCTCTCGCAGGAGCGGAAGCTCGTGCGGAGAGGCTAGTTTTATTTTATTTTTGACGAACTCAGTTGATATTTTATATATACATATATGTTTATATTTTAGGGCTTTTCAATAGGCCCATTCTAACATCACATATTATACGAAGTACCCATATAGAGTCTATTTGGAGATAAAAACCCAAAACTAGCCACTTGTCATTTTTTAACTAGTTCTTAGAAAATTTTAACACACTAAGACTACTAAAAAAACTCACACTACCTACTGATTATGATTTGTCCCCTAAGTTGATTTTTGAGACAATTATTTGTCTCCACTA